GCGAGAAAATTGACCGTAATATCTATGTTCGGCCACCAAAAGAATTTGATAAGGGCTTCTTGTGGAAGCTGAAGAAAACGGTTTATGGTCTATGTACCGCAGCACGCGCGTGGTATTTCAGAGTAAAGAAAGTACTTTTACAAATGGGTATGGTGATGTGCAGCTTGAACAGTGCACTGTTCTTTTACTTCAAGAAGGGTGTGCTTTCAGGCATCATCTGCATCCACGTGGATGATTTTTGCTGGGATGGAGAGGACTTCTTTAGAGATACAGTCATCAATTCATTGAAGGACAAGTTCCTCATCGGGACAACGAGCCATGGTTCCTTCAAGTACATCGGTGTGCACTTGGAAAGAGATTCAGCCGGCGGAATTGGATTAAGCCAAGATGACTACGTTCGATCGTTGGAAGAGGTCAAATTGGAAGAAAAGCATAAGAGAAGTCGTTCGGATGTGCTCTCGGAAATGGAAAAGAGAGATTACCGAGCATTGGTTGGCCAACTGAACTGGATTGCTACTCAAACTCGTCCAGATATTTCATTTGACGTCTGTGAGTTGAGCTCTGTCTTTGATAAAGCTCGAGTCGACGATCTTATTCGTGCCAACAAAGTCGTTAAGAAGGTACAATCTCGTTCTGTGGTTGTCCAGTATCCGAAGCTTCGCGACCAGAACCAGTTGACTATTGAATGCTATAGTGATGCATCATTCGGTAATCTTAAAGACGGTGGTTCACAGGGAGGTCATGTAATCTTCATTGTTGATAGTGATGGGAAGAGATGTCCAGTGACCTGGCAGTACAAGCGACTTCGAAGAGTGGTGAAGTCTACTTTAGCTGCTGAAACTTTAGCTCTTCTGGATTCGGCTGAGGCTGGGGTGTACATCGCTACTCTATTAGCCGAGTGCCTGAATCTTTCTGTCGGCGACTTTGTCGTGAAGTGTTTCGTTGACAATAGATCCCTCGTTGATGCCGTACACTCCACTAAAGCAATTGAAGACAAACATCTTCGTATAAATATGGCAGTCCTACGTGATATGTTGTCAAAGCGTGACATTCAAAGCATCACGTGGGTTCGGTCATCCTTACAACTAGCCAATGTTCTTACAAAAATAGGCGCTTGTCCTAAACCTCTTTTGTCAGCGATTGGTGGCTGCTCCACCAGTAGCCAGTAGAACCTGTTTAAGTATACTAATTTGTAAATAGTAGTATTATTAGGTTTAGTAGTTTCGTTATTTTGTTCTCGTTGTATTGTTGGTTTCTCGTTCTTTGTGTTATTTGTGTTGTCGGTTGCATTTTGCTTATTATAAAAGAAAAACTGGGGAGAAATGTTAATATCTGATTGGTCTGCGCTGGTGTTGCCGAATGGTTGTGACGTCACACTTGTTTGGTCGTGAGATGGCTTTGTGCTGCGCTCTGATTGATTCGGGAAACGCCAGTTATTCCAGTAGCCTACGTGCGTGGGCTGGCTGTAACGTGACGCAAGTTGGCGGCAATGCAGTTGGGGACAGGAGTCTAGCGTGAACCATGATAGGGTGAGCATCTTGCGAGCGTGTGCTATTAACATAAACTCTAAATGCTTGCACATTTCTTCAAAATCCTGTCAAGGAAAAAAAATCCTGTCCTGTCCTAGGCCTTAGAGCATAGTGTCAAACCAGTGTTTTTTTAGAATTAGTTTATTTTTAATTTCCTCATTTACTCAAGATTATAACAGATATCTTATGCATGATGATTCTATTCTGGTATCCAAGATACTTTACTGGTCTACTTATAGCTTATAGGACTCAAAAGTGAACTTGAGCTTAGAGACACTGCCTATGGCAGATATTCTGATATTAAGGTGAGGAGTTGAGAACTAGCTAACTTGAGGAGAAACTTGGTGGCAGTAGAGTTTCCATTAATTTCTAATTCGGACGGTCGGACCTGAGCACTCTCCTTGAAGTCACAAAGGTTTAGCCTGGCAGGTCACTTGCTCTCAACCTGGTACTGACAGCTGACATTTGTATTAGCCTATTAGGCTATTAGTGGAGTGATTGGTCCAATCCACCCTTTGGTGGAAGTCTCAGAACTTCTGGAGTTGGCTAAGTCAGGCTCTTTGAAGATCAAGGAAATGGTATGACTTCCATGCCAATGCCATCCTCAGGGTATATGGGCAGGGTCAACAGTCAAGTGCAGAGTGCAGTGAAGGTGGCATAGTGACAAACCACAGATTTTTTAGAATCAGTTCATCTTTAATTTCCTCATTTACTCAAGAATTGAACCAATCTTTTATGCATGATAATGCTGGTACCTATCCATGATACTTTACTGGACATACTGGTCTACTTATAGGACTCAAAAATGAACTTGAGGAAGAGTCTAAAAAACTCTGCTTTGCCACTATGGTCAAGGTGGTGTTTGAGGGCAGGCAGCTTCCTGAGGCTGTCTATATAGTCACATACTGACTATAGATCATCTGCATGACCCAGTGAGACCGTTTGTTATGGCACCACTCAGGTGTTATAAATGCCAGCAGATGAACCACATTGCAAGTGGATGCACTGGCCTGAAGAGGTGCTTATTTTGTGCTGGACCTCATGATAAGTCAGAGTGCCCTAGTAGTGGGGGCTCAAAACGCTTTAGTGCAAATTGTGGTGGTCCACACTCCGGCTCTGCTAGTGCCCAAGAATATCCCGTCATGGCTAGTGCCAGGGCAGTTGAGAAGCTCTGTGCTACAGGGCTCTCTTATGCAGATGCTGCCAAGAAAGTAAAGCAAACGTCAACAGTTGCCGTTTTCAGTGTTTTGGCTGGAAGCAGCTCTTCAATGCATGCAGTTGTTAACAAGACTCTTCAAATGAATCCCAGCAGGGTTCCTCCAGCAGAAAAACATAGCCTTCCAACTTTATGTATGTCATCCCCACACAGCCACACTGGACCCTCAGATCTAGCAAATCTCATGCACTCGAGTGTGGCTGCTGAGGTACATTCCTCACAGGGCTCCATTTCTTGAAAACATCTGCTAAGTCTCTGCCATCATCTGAAACTCCACAGAGAGGGGTAAATTCCATTTCAGCACTTCAACCAATCCAACATACAGGTGAGCAATCCTTGATGACAGATGATGACTCCAGTTCCCTAAACCTTTGTGCCATCCTGCATGAAGAGTTGATTGAAAGCAAATGTCGCATGGAGAACATGATTGTAGGAGCAATTCGGGAGTTTTCAATGAAGGTAGGCCGACTCCTTTATGAATGTTTGTTGACATTGCACTGATTGCAGAGAACATTCGCGGCGGGCGCCATCACACTACTCTACTGATACCGGTATGGACTACGGTGGTAGCGGGAGAAAGCAGTTGTGTTCACGGCTTGTGTTAATTGTGTTCTCTAAATTAAACGGAGAATTATTGTGAGCCAAAGTTTCATATCTATAGTAAAATGGGGTTACTTAGACTCCCCGGGTAACTTAGACCACTTTTATTTTTTTTAATAAAAACCCACAAAACTCGAAAACTATTTGACATAGAAAAATTTTGTCAATGGCATCAAAGGCCTAATACTGAGGCTATGTAACGCAATAGAAAGATTTAAAAAGTTTGAATATTTAATAGGTTAAAAAATTAAAAATGTGACCTATGAAAAAGAGCTATTACTTAAAGCCTGTCAGAGTACCTCCTCCAATTTTTTTATTTTTTGCTAAAATAACTCCAGATTTTGATGCATTGTAGTAGAACTCTTCTAGTTACACATGGAAATGACAAAATTTAAGGAAAGTGTCATAGTTTGCAAATGGAGAGTACTGCCCCAAATGGGGGAACTTAGACCACCTAATGTCAGCCCTGATGGGGTAACATAGACCGACTTGGAAATTAATTTAAAATTACCATATATAACATTTTATGTTTGATACACCTATTAATGTCTTATATTATATATGGTAATTTTAACTTATTTTCCAAGCCAGTCAATATTACCCTGTCAGAGCTGACATTAGGTGGTCTAAGTTCCCCCATTTGGGGGCGGCACCCCCCATTTGCAAACCATGACACCTTCCTCAAATAAGTTTTTTGCATATGTAACTAGAAGAGTTCTACTACAATGCACCAAAACCTGGAGTTATTTTATCAAAAAATATAATTGATTTTACCACCCAGTCTAAGATACCCCAAGAGCTGGGGTAACAAAGACCATCACTTTTTTTGAAATTACATCAAAACTATGAGAGGCAGGAGCCAGCAATTTATGGTGAGTGAACCTAGAGTACTATAGACCTGTATTTTGCATGTTTCAATTTAAGTTTAATTTAGCTAGTAAAAAAATGGCATCATTTAAAAAAAAGTAGTTTAAGTTACCTCATTTTACGGTACTCCTAATAAATATAGTCTTGACTCTTGAGTTTGTTCCTTCATAAAGTTAAACTCGACTGGCAGTCTGGGCCTTCTCCCTCAGAGGTTTACTTGTCTGATTTGCTCAAAAAAATTTTCTTTTTTATTTTCTTTCTTTGGCAAGCTGCTCTGCTGATGTTAGTCTAACAAGGGGAAGACCAGTTTCCTTGCAGCTCTTGCTGACTCAGGTTTTGGCTTGCCCGACATACATAGTGGCAATCTGGCAAACAAGAGATTATTTAGAATCAGTTCATTTGTAATGTCCTCATTTACTCAAGATTTAAATGTAAAACCAATGTCTTGTGTATGATAATGTTGCCCCCTGTGGAGGCTCAAAGTTTGGTAAAAAATGCAGAGATCTGGAAAAGAGCAAGTGAACTCACTGTCAAGTGAGGGCCTTTCTGGTTGGAGGTTGAGGACTCAAGGTCACTGGCAATGATAAATGTCCAGGCTCCAGCTGTGGCCTGTGTTCACTTTTTAGGAACCAAACTTGGTTGAATAGTGCTTCAAATCTGGCCAATTTAGCAAACATAGAACTTCCAATCCATGCCACTCTGGCACTCTCAACTCTGCAGTCTGCACAGTGCAGCTAGTGGATGAACCATACTGTAAAATAAGCAGTAAGGGACAGGCAGGGTATATTGAGACAGTCCTCTGACGTATTGTGATAGCAACTAAATGTGATAGCAACTAAACTAATTGGAATATTGCAAAACTAAACATAATGGCATAAAGTTCAACTTTAATCCTATCTATGTAGCATATTGCAAATTTGCAAGTTTAGAAATCATGCATTTACTACCTCTAAAAAATCCCTGAAACAAAGTGTAAAAAGTGAGATTATGGAAGAGTACCTCTGCTAAGATCATCTGGGGTCTGTAGCTATAAAATATCTGCCATATTAAAAAATTTTACATACATAAAAGGTGCGCACAGGTGTTGGCTTGAAAACATAATAGATGGAATTTGCGTAGCTCATTCCAAAAAAATGTGGTGTTCATTTCCACTGAACCGGGCAATAACGAACACCCCCAGGGTAATAAGGGACACCCATAAAAATGCATTTACAGTAGAAGTTTAGAACCTTGGTTATTAAAGGCTCCAGTTAATGACAAAATCAATTGACAACAAAGAATTTTGATTACATATACCTTGCTCAGCTAAAAAAATTTCACTTGACCAAAAATTGATGCATCATCGGTCATCACAAAATTGTGCACAGAATGTCGTAGATAGAATTGTGCACTGGGCAACATAGAATAAAAAGTAATTAACCTAAACTATGATTTATTTTACAAAATTTAATACATGCTGTCATTATCAAATTAAGTGTGGTCTAAACAACCATGTTCATGTGTGGCTGATCATCACATTTGCTATAAGCTCATAGTTTAAAAATAAAAAATGGTGACTGCTTATTTGGTTTGGAAATTAATTTTTTTCTGTGGAATTATGAGGCTTAATAAAATTATATAAGAAAAAATTTTTAATACAGAAAATATTTTTTTGCTACAGACCTTAGCAGAGATACTTTTCCAAAATCTCATATCACACTTTTTTCAGGGATTTTTTAGAGGTAGTAAATGTATGAATTATTAATTTGCTTTATGCTATATAGATAGGAAATGCATTATCTTTAATGATATTAAAATAGTGGCATCTTTTTTAATGAAATATTTTAATTCTTCTTGTTAATGAACCTATATGCCAAACAATAACTGCTTTACATGCTCATGTGAATAATTCAAAATAATTTGACCATGAATTTAAAAGCAAAGCAAATGTAATGATTTGAACTTGTTTATTTAGGTT